CTGAGGGATGCGGGGGGGCACTGGGGTGGCTGTGGGGGTGTCCCTGTGGGGGTGTCCGTCCCTGTGGGGGTGTCCGTCCCTGTGGGACTGACAGGTATCCCCCCTGGGGTGCGGTGTGGGGAAGGGCACCGCAGGGGACAGGGCGCTCGCCGTGGGGTGCGCGCCGCGGGGCTGGAGACCGGTGGGGGGGGGCACATGAGGGGCACCTCACACCTCCCCCCTGCGGCGTGAGGCGGGGGGTCCCTCCTCGGGACCCCTCTCCCTGCAGGGTGGCCGTGGCACAGGCACGGGGGCAGCCCCCCTCCGCCCCCGGGTGCGGCGGGCTCGCTGCGGGGCAGGGGGGCTCTGGGAGGTGCGGGCTGGTGGGGACGCGGGGCGCTTGGCTTCGGGCAAAGGGGTGATGCCTGCTGGGGAGGGGACGCGGGGCGCTGGTTCCCCGTTGTGGGGGCTTGGGGAGAGGCTGGGGCTCGGGCACCGTGATCGAGGGATGGCAGGACCGGCTGCGGTGGGGGCAGGCGGAGAGGAGACAGCAGCAAGCGCTTTGGGAAACTTTTGGAGTCCACCCGCAGGGCTTGGAGCGTGGGGGCTTTGGGGGACATCTCCCCCACCTAGGGGACGCAGCCAAGGCAAACGACGAGGAGGTGGCCCTGACTGCGGAGAAGGAAGGTGTGACCTAGCTGCTGCACGGGCACACATCCTCTCTAACCCGCTTTTTGTGTCCGCCAAAGTCCTGGCTGCGCTGATTAATGGTTGTATAATTAGAGTTAAAATCTGCAGGAATTCTGAGAGCTGCGACGCTTCTCGGTAGCCCTCGCGCGCTGTGGAGGGAGGTGCAGGATGCTGCAGGTGGCCTTTCCTCCTCTGTCCCCAGCCTGTGCCGTTGCAGCACCGGGTTCCCCCAGCCTGCGGCTGGCAAAGACCGGCGTGGTCAGAAGCAGGTAATGGTGGGTGTTCCATCTGCAGGACACCAGGCCCTGAGCAGAGCCACCGTATTTGCTTCTGAAATTCAGGTGACAAATATCCGTGCTTTATTTCCTGGAGAAACTTCTTATATATACAGAATTATTAAAATTTGTGACTTGGAAGTTTCTTGGTCCAACATCTGGATTGTAATTGTCTTGAAATTACTGTAAGATGAGCTACAAACAATAATTGTTGAAGCGAGGATTTGGTACGGATGTGTAAACCTCCTAAAGGAGGTTGTCTCCTGAAGTCTCAAAAGGCCCAGCTGTTAAGCCCTAAAAATGAAACATGATGAAATGCAACACAGAAGTCAGGAAAGAATGACCGCCCATCCTTGTACTTTCTTGTCCCTGGGCGGGCTCCAGATTTTCTCTGATATTCTGCATTTCTCTGCTGAAATTTTGCAGACACTTTGTCACATGCTAGGACACTCAGTGCCTCGGGGTTGTGGTGTACCCAGAAGGGCTGTGAATTCACCAAGGAGGTCTTGCCAGCAGTTTCTCTTTTTTGTATTTCATAGCAGCTCTGCCTAGGTGATCACGCTGCACTGTTTTCAGTTGTGGTGTTAGAGAGAATTATCTTGAGCCATTTGGGACTTCGTTGGTGAAGAGCAGCATCTTTTCATCGATTGCAGGACACGGGTACCAGATCTTCAGGGTGCTTGAGCTCTGCCTGAGGAAATGTTATCAGCCTGCCTGTAGCAGCAGGGGATGCAAGGTTTGGGGATTTGTTTTAGCCAGTATAGCAAAGGCCCAGGTCTGGGTGCTGTTGGACCAACATGTGGTACTGGCTGAACTGGAATCCCTTTTATACGTTCACAAGGCTATTAATATGCTGCAGGATAGCTGCTTTTGCTCAACCAGAGTAGCTGAAGCAGCCTATGTTTTAAGTGTAGACAGGACTCTGCCTGCCAGATCCTGCAGTAACCTTTATAAGGGGCTTGAGGGCTTAGACCATCTAGGTAGAGCAGATGCTGACTGTGGGGAGAGCAGCCATGCTGGGGAGAGTCGCAGTCTTCTCTGGAGGTGAGCAGGCTGGGTCACAGCCATTAACACTTAGTTTTGAAGCAGATGCTCTCAGTCTGGAGATTGGGGCAGAGTTGGGCCTGCCTGGGCTGGGAATGAAGTTGCCTTGGAGATCAGGCAAGATTTTTAAGCATGGATTGAAGAGAGATCGTGATCTCTCCTAGTGATTCTGTACAGATTAACCCTCATCTTGTAAACAGGCTTTTATTGGTTTCTCGAGGAGTCAGTGATGAGTCTTCTGTCATTAACTTCTTTTGAGTCTTTCTGTCTACAACAGATCTCTACAGGAATACACACCAGTAAGGTTGATTGTAAGCTGGGGGTTGGAGGTGGGGGAGGACAGTGGGAAAAGGATTTTCTTCTCTCCATGACCAAGGAATGCAGGGTCCTTTGGGTACTTTACAGCCTGGCAGGGGAATTATCTGAAGTGACAGGACTTATTCCTTTTCCCTGAGGCTCTCGCTTACGTGCAGTCCATGTGTCAAGGCAATGCTTCTCTGCAGACAGCTGGCAGAGTGCAAAGTTTAGTAGTATTTGCCTGCAGATGAGTCAGCAGAAGAGAAATAGCTTGCTCCCATAAAGTGGAATGATCTTGTAGGCAAAGCAGCACATGACAGTCACATCTGACTGTGCCAACGCCTTCCAAGTTCAGAGGGACGATGAGGGAGCCTGGGAGCTGTGGGTGTCAGAGGGGCCTCGCTGGTCCAGTGTGCTGCCCTTGTGCTGACTCGGATCCCTGGTGAGAAATGCAGCAGCTTTGAGCTGGAGCATTTACTGAGTTGTTGCAGTAAGCTCTTGTTTTGCACACGCTTCGAGTTTAAGTAGCAGGATTTATTTTGCCTCGGCGCGTAAATCTGCAAGCGAAAAGCAGCGGAAGTGGCAGAAGAAATCCTGCTACTGCATGTAGATATGCAGATAATATTCTTCAAGAAATTCCTCGGGACATTAAAACACAAAGAATGCGGATGGGCCAGGTCCTCATGCTATCAGCGTGCTTAGGGTGCAGAAATATCTGATCTGCTTCTCCGGTGTAGTGTGAGGCAGGCAGTTCCCTGACACCACCAAGGATAAACAAAACATCAGTACTGTCCATGAAGATGCAGACAGTGAGATAAGGCTTTGGCTAAGCAAGAAGATTTGCTGCACCTATTCTGACCTTCTCCATCTGCCAGAGGTGTTAACTTTGGTGTTGTGGCTAAATTCCAGCTTGGATGATGGTGTAGTTAACTCACACTAAGGGAGAAGTTTTAAATTCCTTCTCTGCCTATGTATTTTTTTTTCTTCATGGTAATCGATGCTTGTCCTTCTTCCCTCCCAGAAGTGGCTGCGCTTCAGTGGGATTCAGTGATTCCCTGACAGGGAAAGCAACTCTTCTCCCATCTGGCAGTCGGCTGCTTCTCACAGAGCCTGTACAACTCTCTCGAGGTGAGCTAGCTGGCAGCTGATGCAAGGCATCTCTTTGATACAGAATATGCACCAAAGAAATCAGTTTCAGAAGCAAAGCCCCGAGTGTTTTGTAAAGTGTTGCCGAGACTGTGATCTGCCCATGGCTTTACTGAATGGGGCACTTCTTAACTTTGCTCCTAGCAAGCAGTTTCTCGTGTTCAGCATGGACTCAGTAATGCAGGAGGGCAACGCCTTAAACAAAATAGAATGATGTTAACATTTTACAGCAGGACTCTTTCTTCTGGTTATGCCTGGTTTTTATCTTGGAGTTTTTCAGAATGAGCTTTGAGAGTTATCTTCTCTTCCCCTTCCCCATCTGCTGCAAATTAATTAATTTTAGAACAGTCAGTGTTTTATGCATTTGGGGAAGCAAAGCTGTGTGCTCATGTGTTAAGCTCAGCTACAGATGCTGGATCCCATTGTTAGTAAGTAATTGTTTGGGATGCTATTTTAGTCATTTGGGTCAAAATGAAGCATTCTAAGATTAGTAGCTTTATTGCAGTAAGGTATGGTTTGTTTTTAAAAACAACATGTTCCCAGTTTTTAATGAAGATGAGTTTGGTGCTGGGAGGACTTCCCAGAAACGCACTAGCCACAGGATAGAGGTTTTAAAGCTCTGAAGAGTGGTAAAATTATTGTTTAATTTCTGCATTAATTTGAGTAATTAGCAGAGCTGCATCACTCTCATGAGGTGCCCAGCCCAGCTCTCCGGTCGCTGCAGAGGCTCCTTCAGCAACATCTAGCCTGTAACATTAGAGCAGAGAGAGCATATTTACACCATCCTCAAAGCTGGTTTCTCCCTTGGTATGTCAGGTAGAGCTGCTGCTGCTGGGCAGCTGGTGCTGTCTGACTGCTGCTGCTTACTTAATGCAAAGCAAATCCATTCGCCTAAGCTATTGTTTGCCATCATTTGACTACCTACACCTTGAGAAGTGGAAAAGTGAGTTAGGGTGGAGGAAAGCAGGTGGTTGGGTGTGGGAGGGGTGGGAAGAAGCTGTTGGAGATTTCTTCTGGGCTTGGACAGTGCTGCTGTACATCAGCATAAAGCACAATGTTGCCCTGTGCTGTAACCCGCAGTTCTTTGGCTGGCCCTGAGCTCTGCACCCAGCAGCAAGATGCTGGCGGTAACTCAGCAGAGAGTGCACTTGTGTGCAGAGAAGCCTGGTTGCTCTGACAGGCCAAGGTATTCACCTGTTTGTGCGTGGAGGCTGCTATGTCCGTCCTTCAGCACCAAAGCCTCTGCCAGCGCTTTTTAATGTTTTGCTGGGCAGCGGATCAGAATGACTGCATTCAGCACATTAACAGACCTTTTAATTCTCTCCGAAGGGAAGGAAAGCGAGTGGTCAGAGACCAACAGGTGACTTGAAGCACAGTGAAATTATTTTGACCAAATAACAGGAAAATCTACTGCTGTTTCCGTGAACGCTGGGGTTACATGAACTAGAGACAGAGGTCTGCTGCTTTTTGTGAACTGGATGGTTTCTGCTAGGACCATGGTGGTAAAGTAAATAACTGATACAGAGTGTGCTTGCAAGATGGCACCTTGCAAAACCTAAGAATTACTTGTGTCATACCCTGTGTTTTCACAGAGGCACCCTGAAAGCTGGTGCATTTATAGCACAGATCTTGCCTGAAAGTTAAATGTTTGGTGAAGTGTTTGAAGACTTGGAGCTCAGCGTTGCAGACTCTTTTTGCCTGAGATTGCTTTTGCACACTCCTGTATGTTTGTCTGTTGTGAGGAAATAGTAAATTAGTTACTGGAATGGGGGAAACTCTGCAAAGTTGACTCGCAGGCGTTATGGAGTGAGTGCTGGAGGGCTCGTGCGGTTCTGAAATGTCCTTGTGGCTGCTCTTCACTGTCCCTTTTGTATTCTCCCCAATGTTATTTTGGCTCCCCACTTACCTAAGATTCTATTTTCCTGTTCTTAGTGATTTGTGTTAGGTCTAGCAGAGCAGTCTGGGATACTTATGTGCATGTAGCCCAAAACCAGTTCAGCTGTGTTTGGCTCTAACACTGTTCATAAGGTATCATCTTTTTGATGGTAGGTGGGGAGGGCAATGTGTTTGCGTGTTATTAAACTATGTTTGACTCTTTACTTTGGAACATTCCTTAACCTGGAGTCATTTGTGCTTGAGTAAGTCTGATCACTAAATCTGCTTCTTAACAGCTCTCTCACAAAGCCCACGCTTCTTGGCTGCTGAACAGCAGAGCTTTGCCCAGTGGCCATCACTGAGGGCAGTTCCAGCTTGTCCCAAGCAGGAACACTCAGCAGAGACCCTCTGCTGAGGAGAGAGGTGGTGTTCAGAGGGACATCTGCCCTTTCTTATACCTTGTGCTTGCCCCACCTAACATGTTCCAGCACAACCACTGCATGTGGGTGGAGAGACATTTTAAATTCCACACAGCTCGTGTTATTAGTGTGTTGAGGCGCACACGTAAGCATCGTTCCTGGGTGGAGGGGTCATGCTGCTCTTGGGAGCAGCAGGTCAGAAGTGCCATTAGCTGCACTGGAAAGCTGCACACTTCAAGTGAGCCAGAGAGATAATGCTGCTCTTTAGTTATAACCTTTGCAAATTTAGCACCCATTTCTAACTCCTACAGCAGCTGAAAAGGGAATGTTTGCTGCCATGCCTTTCTGTAAATCCTTAGCTTTGCTTCAGCTGTGTGAAGTGCTGGGCTTCCTAATGCTCCAGGGCCATTTTGGGAAGGTACAATGACTCCAGCTCAAAAGCACAGATAGCTTTCTTCCAGATAGCTGTCAAAATTTCTGTCCCAAACTGGTAGTCTTTCTGTCTATTCATCACAGAAGCAGTTCAGCTGAACCACCACTAATTACAACCTGGTACATAAAGTGCCAGAAGTAAGTGTGCCCTAATGTGGTGTCAGCAGCTGCTTCACCATCAGCTGAGTCACCACTGCGGTGGGGACAGGGGACAAGAGGGGAGCATAATGGCAGCCATCCCAAGGTGAGCTGACCCCAGTGGGGAGCTGCAGCTTGGTCTTACACAAACAACAAAGCAAACAGCAAGCTAGTTAGTTATTTTTTATGACCATGGGTTGCACCCCTTCCCTCACCCTTATTCCTTCTGCTTAAACCTGCTTTTCCCTCTCTTCAGGATTGTACAGGGATGCAGCACACCCACCAGCTCTTGGGGTGGGGGGCATGGGGAAACAGAAAAGGGTAAAAAAGTGTTTGCATTCATCAAAATGAGAGCTGGGGGAGGGCTGAATGCAGACTGGGCATGCCTTAATCCTTAGGTTGCTTTTCAGATGCTAAAATAGCATAATTAGCCTGGAGTAATGATTTATAACTTGCATTGCAACTCTTGTGTGAGTTTCTTTCCAGCCAGCTGACTGCTGCACACTTCTGTCTGCAGAACGGTTCCGAGTTGCGTTAAATGATTCAGTATTCCCACCAGGCACTGTTTGTCAAGCCTTGGCAGCTGATGCCAAATACAACTGGCTAAGCCCCTTGTTAGGTGGCTGCGTCTTTGCACTGACCTTCTGTACACTGTGCCTGCTATTGACTGATTCTGCTTTGGAAGAGTTGAGAAATATCTCTTCTTTTGGGTTTGGGGGTTTTTTTTTGGTGGGTTTTTTTTCCCCCCCTCTTCTTCATTTTGTTCCAGTTCTTACTAGACGTGCTTGGCAAGATGGAGCCACCAACCTCCTCCAGGCTGAATTCCCGAAAGAGAAGAAAAGATGGATCTGGCCCTAATGGGGCGACAGAGCTGGATGGAATACCTCCAAAAATGTCCCGACGTTCACTCGTAAGTAAGCAGAGATAGGAGCTTTATGTGCTTGTGAGATTAGGACATTGAACCGTAATAGCAGAAAGATAAATGTGATGGTTTTTCTGTGGACACAGAAAACAAGTCGGGAGGGGGTGGAGGTGGGAGAAGCAAATGACAGTATCTATCCTTCTTGCAAAGCCAGTTTAAAATCTTCCTTTGTTCATACTAATAACATACTTACAATGTGGGCTTAAATTAGGTCTGAGGCAAGCGTCGCTAAGCTGCTTTTGTGGTGTGTCCGGCCTGTTTGTAGTCCCTTACACTGAACCCAAACAGGCATGCATATAGATACCTGTGGAGAAGTAAGCATTCATTTCTCGCAGGTGGGTTTTCTTATGTGACCCGGCAGGAGGGAGAAGTACTCCAAACAAGCACGTAACAACTCATGCTCCTTGCAGAAAGCAGTGCTGTTCAAGTCAGGGGAACTGCAGGAGGGTCTGAAGTCTAAGCACCTGCAAAAGCAACCTTTTGAATGCACGCTCTGAAACACTGGGAAGATGACTATTCTTTTGATTCTCTTGGTCTGGCAGGAGACTGCATTTGTGTTGCTGGTACTTCAGGAGTGTTCAGGAAAAAAAAGAAAAAAACAACTGAAAGGATTTCTCCTTCTAGGTCAACCTTGGGATGGCTTTAACAAGCTAAAGCCAGTGGGGTCTCTTTTAAAGGGAGTCTGTGCCAGTTAATGCTAGTGTAAAGGGCTGACTTTAACTTGTCCTTGCCGCAATACTGCGATGATGGGCTTTTTACAGCTCTTCTCTTCCCTCTTCCTGGAGCTGTCCTGTGTATCCCATGTGCTGTAGTTGCTCTTTCCTTATCTCTGTTGAAAGCCAGTTACCATACCTGCCACATCATACTGGGGTCATAGTCGTTGGCAAAATACAGTGATGTGTTGCAGCTTTCCTCTTTGATAACAACGTTTTGCTCTTCAGGAGTACTTCAGTCCTGTCCCAGAGCATTTGACAGATGGTAACAAAGTAAGAGCAGCACCAGCAGTGAGAATTGGGGAGGCAGGTGTTGGGAATGGAGGCTTGAGCTGTTGCATGACTTATCCCACAGACCCTTTATATCCTTGACTGCTGTCAAAACCCACCCGGTTCGTCTTAAGGACCCCATGTATTTCATTAAGGAAGAGAAGTGTGCAGGTTATTCCATGGTGTCTGTCCTGTGTTAGAAATAAAGCATCTGTCTATGAACAGCACAAGACAAGTAATATCTAGCCACTTTCTAAACTTCCTGGCTGTTTTTTAGCCACAAGGCTAACACAGACCTCCTGATAAAAGATTTCTTTTTTCTTCCTTTTGTGAAAGATTTATTTATTATAGCAAGAGTAGTAGTGTTGCCTAACCGTGATATTACCTTGAAGCCTTTACCACTCGCAGCTAAACAGCAGGCTGGCAGAGTGTTCCCCTGAAGCAGCAGGGCTCAGCAGCGGATGGTGGTAACAAGCCTGCTGATGCACAAGTCTATTTTATTGTGTACATCAGGTTGAGTCCTGACCCTCGTAGGTGCTGCAGAGGAAGGGCAAGACTCTGGGAGGAACTTTTAAGGACATTTTGCTGTGATCCTCTGATAATTTTGATAGGGATTTTTTTATGCTTTTATTTCTAGCTTCATATCAGGTATGTGCCAACCAAACTGCAAAGAATCTGTTCACAAGTCCCAGATATAATGATAGTGATGAAAGCAGAGACCTGCAGGCCTTACCTAACAGTAAGGATCCTGGTAGAGGAGGTGGAGTGTGAAATGCGGGTACTAGAGCCTCAGTGAGTTAAAGAAAATTTTCAGCAGTATCAGTTTGCTTGAATGTAGTAGTCAGTGGTTGCTTTCCTGTGCACTTCACTTTGAGCACTCTAATAAGGAATGACATTAGCACTAATAGCAGTGGTCTTTCTGGTTGCAGTGGTGCTGGGCACCATGGCAGGATACTGCAATGGGACAGGAAGCCAGAGAGGAAACTGCTGGTCAGCTTTTTGCAGCTTGAAGGTATTATTGTAATGATCTGCAAGCTTGTTTCCTCATCTTCTGGCTCAGGAAAGAGACATCCATTGCTGCCCCACACCTTCAAGCTAGAAGGAAATTGAGCTGTTTGCTCTGCTATGGGAAGGGCAAATGTTTTGTTTCCATTCAGAGGAGAGACCAGAAATGATAGCTGGTCTTCAGTTGCTGATTAAACATACTGCTGTGGTCAAGCTAGCAGATTAGAGGGGTTTTCCTCAGCAGTTGGAGACACTCTGCCACAGGTCGAGGTCAGTCTCTCACTTTATGGCTCAGAAGTGGGTGACGATACCCACATTCCCTGGGAATTTGTGCTGCTGTTGATATTGCACTTCTGCTCATTCATACACTTAGATTGAGGAGCTGTTAAAATTTGTACATCACAGCACAAGCGCTCAGGCATAGCAAAGTGATGGTCTTACCCGGGTGGGCGTAGCTGGAGCTGCGACAGTGAGGTTTGACGAAGCTTGGCTTGTGCTGCTGTGAACTGCTGTTCGTCAAAAGCCTGGTTTTACTAGCTGCAGATCCAAGCCTCCAGTTTTCTTGGGTCCAGTATGACTACCATCTTCTTAACTCTACTTTTCTCTCTCTCTCCCTCTCTAAACTCAGGCTAATCACCCTGCAGGGCTGTTTTTGAGGTTTAACACTAATTAGTCTTTCAGTACATGTGTTTGAATCGTGCAGAGACACAGTGAGTCACTCGGTGACTGGGACACTGCAGTGGCAGCGCTGCCGCTAGGTACTGCACTCACCTTTGCATTCTCACAGCTAACCTTCTCTGGCTGTTTAGGGACTGAGGGAACCAGCTCCATTTTCAGACGAAGTGGAAATCGATTACAGCAAGCCATACATCAGAGTAACATACGAAGAAGCGATGAGAGGGACCCCTTGTAAGTAAAAAAACAGACCAGAAGGCGATTGTATAAATGTTGGGGTTTGGGGGAGGCAGGTGGGATTGTGATATCTCTGAGACCAAACCAACCTTGTGTGTCAGACCGAGTTTGCAGCCAATGACTTTGTTAATGCTTTGGTGTGTAGGTAACTGTTCCCATGTGAAATTGGGCCTGCCAGTATACAGAAATTGGAGCTTGTGTGTGTGAGGAGCCATACCTTCACCAGTAAGACTGTTTGAAGCAAATAGTTGTGGTTTAGCTCTTGCTGTGCCACTGACAGCTATAGAATAGTATCAGAGCTAAACATTTTTCTCTACTACTTTGTCTGAGGCAGCTTAAAGTTAAGCACTTTAAAAGTGGTCTTTTCTGAAACTCGAAATGGGCAAGTAAAACCAACATACATCTTTGTCCAGAACGTCCCATCCTAGCCTGGACTTGAATTAAAGTATCGTTAAACACAGTAGGCCAGCCCCACAACAAGAACATGTCCTTTTATTCTCTAAACCAGGCTGGGAGAAACACTGTTCACTTTGCAAGTCCAAAGGGGAGGCAGAGGCAGGACTGGCTCCTGAAGGATGGCTGCCCTCTCTTGCCAAACAGAGTGTGCAGCCGGTGCTGTCTTACTTGGCCTCTCTGTTATGGCTACAGAGACAATAAAAATGCTACACTTCTACCTACCTGACTGCTGCTGAGAGATAAGCCAGCTCGAATTGAGACCTGGCAGTAGTTTCCTGCCAGAGGTTCTGGAAATCCAATGCATTTCACAGTCCTCATTAATTTCCCAGCTGAAAGACTCCAGAGGCTGCACAAAGGTCTCTGATTTCAAGTGATGGCTCTCCTGCCTGCTAAAAGACTAAAATACACTGCATGCTTCCTTGTTGCTGTTTATGCCTGTGCTCAGGAACTGCAGCTGCTGCAGGTATGGAGGAAAAGGGAAGGATGTCCCAGCCAGTTTCCAGAACATGATTGCACTTTAGTAAAGGCCTGCAAGGACCAGTCCTCTTCTGGCATACAGAAAGCCTTTGCCGTCTCAGATCTCCAGATCCTTGGCTCTCCAGAGCCTCCTGGCATCTTTGGACTGAGGTGGATTTGCTGAAAAGTGATTGTAAGAGGCTGTCCTCAAACTGACTCCTCTGCTTAGCTTGAATTTAACAACCTACCTTTTCATCAACTCATCCTCTTGCTGCCTCCCAGGCTCTGTCTGTAGGCGCCTTCAGGGCCCTGCCCAGACCCGTGGGGTTTCGTCTCTCCTGCTAGGTCTTCTCTCTGCCCTTTCCTTGCTGCAGCTTTGGTGTGCCTCTGCTCACACCGCTCCTCTGAGTCTGTCTGCCTGAATTGGACCAGAGAGCAGCAGGCCATTCCCAAGTATGTCAGATACCAAGAATGTGTGGCTTTCTGTTACCAGTAGCAAGAGGACTGCAGTCCTGTGTGGTCCCAGGAGACCAGAAGGTAGGGAGCCTCCTACTATTATGTGGCAGTCCTAAACTATCTCACTTTACCTCTGCTGACCTCAAAGAGCTAAGCTACAATTTCCCCTGGCAGAGGTGGCCTGAGGAAAGTTTCATTCCTCCTTACTTACCTATGAATTTAGCTGTTAGTGCCAGTGGTTCAGCAGAATTGTATCTGCCTTTCTTTGAGTAGTCCAGCTGGGTTTTTGGATAGAGCCATACTCTTCATGGGTCTGGGGGAGCTGATGATGCTGGTGGGGAATCAGAATGGTCTGGTCCCTCAGCTAGACTGGTAGCTGTGGCAGTGGGCTGCAGAGGAGGATGATAAAAATGTCTTGAGGTGCCATCCTGGCTGGCAGGGGGAAAACAGGCACCTGTGAAACATTTGGGCCACTTCCCCTCTGGTAGCTCACTGCTGTGCAAAAAGTTAATGCTGCTTTTGGATTTCCGTAGGAGGGAGATGTTCAGGGTTTGCTTTCCCCTTCGTCTCCCCTCCCTTGTTTCAGTGGATATGTGGTAGGCCTTAAGTCTGTCTTTGAACATGGTTGTATTTCAGCTCTGTGCTCAGCTGCATTTGTTTCCATGTGGGAAGGCAGAGCGCCAGCCGTTTCTCTTCACAAATCTTTCCTGGCTATGGCTCTGCATTCTGCCAGTTTTCTGCAACACCCTCATGAATTTCAGAAGGTCCCCAAATGCGGGCATGAGCAGCAGCTGCTTCTCCAGGAAGGCATCTTCACAAATGTCTCTCTGTCCCTTTGGCACAGTGGATCGCCCCGTCAGAGTTTATGCAGATGGAATCTTTGATTTGTTTCACTCTGGACATGCCCGGGCCTTGATGCAAGCGAAGAACCTCTTCCCAAACACATACCTCATTGTTGGAGGTAAGGAGTGACCTTGTTGACTTTGGCTGTCATAGGAGTACAGTCTACCTCCGTCCGTGGTTGTGCATACAGATGGCATAGCAGGGTTTTTGTGTTTATGGCCTCAGTGGATCTCACTGCAGCCAGTTGTCCCAAATGTTGTTGGAGTCTTATTGCAATATGTTGAGAGTTGGATATGTCTGCAGAAAGATAGGTTGTACCAAATCGGTGCTTAAGGGAAAGATTTTTGATCATGCTGTTCTAATTTGACCCCTCTATTTTGTGACAGATACTGGTGAGTTGCACGTCTGAGTATCAAAATATGTTAGGGGCAATTGAGCATCTGCCTCTTGAATGAGACAGTTAAAGAATGAGTAACAGTCCCTCCATGGCTGGTTGAGCTTTGTGTCACCTGTATTGCCCTGCAAGTCATTCCCCGCTCCAGCTTTCTGCTGGGGATTGCTTATGGCTAATCCCAAACAGGTCCCACTAGGAGCGTGGAGACCTCGGTGGTTCCTTGGGCATGTGCCTGGCCACGTGGAAGTCAGTGAGGCCCCATTTCTCCAAACAGAAGTTCCCCATTTTGTCTGTTAGGTTGAAAAGTCTTTAGATAACGCCAGGAATATACTGCTGACTGCCTGAGGGGATCTAGCAGAGGTGTTTCAGCCAGGCCTCCTTCAAGAATATAACAGGGAAAAAAGAAACCCTTTCTTCTGGCTGCTGTAATACGTTGGCCTCTGTCCAGGCAGTGCCTTTGTGCCCGTACCTTCACCCACCTTAAAGACATATCAGGCTGTGCATGTTGTCTGTCAGGAGGTGACCTCTGGTCAGGCTGCATAATGATGTTAAAGTATCAGAGCTGAGAATACCTTTAACTAGTTTTCTCAACTACCATTAGCTTCCTGAAGCAAAATGAAACTCTGATCCTGTGATAAAGCGATGATAACATCTTTGTGTGGTTTGTTTCCCTAACAGTTTCACTTGCTGCTGAGGGCATTTTTATAGTGGTACTTCTGCATTTTTTGTGTGTGCTACAGCAGTGTCTGGAAGGGGAAGGGAGGGAGTAGAGCTGAGATAGTTGCTCCAACCTACAGGCACTCTGAGCTTAGAAATCTTGCAGGCGGAAAGACACCCCCATGTACATAAATGTTGTACATCGAACAGGACGATAACTTCAGGTCGAATTATTAACATGTTAATGTAGCGAGGTGTGTAACTATGCTCTGCCTCTGAGAGACTGGTGAGGAGGTGGAGGGCAATGAAATGCTCCCCTTGCACCAGGAACTGAGACAAGAGGCCACAGCCCAAGCGAACATTAGCTCCAAGCTGGGAGCAATCTCACCCACTCTTTATCATTTGTTTGTCTAGAACATAAATATGTCCAATACCAGTGAGACTGGTAATACTTTGTTTACTTTTGAGTCTGATAACCAATAAAACTCCCCCCTTCACAATGTCTTACATTGCAGATTATAAAGAGTTGTTAATTTACTTTCTCATAGAACATAATAATTAAGCTAACTTCATTTGCTGTCAACTCACACTTTGTTTTAATACAACTTTCCAAGAGCTAGACAGTGGTATGGCATTTTATGAAATCAGAAGCTTAGGCAGTGGTTTTTTTCATGGGCTTCGCTCTCTAAGCCTGAGACACCCATAGGTTTAAAAGCAGATTTCTGCCTGATAGGCCCCCAGGTGCCATTTCATACAGGAGAGTTGTCTTCTGTATTGGCTGGTTTTCTTGAGAAGCGTTGCAGGCTCTAGAGGTCTTGAGGGATTGGGGTGTAGGTTCCCAGCTTGGGCAGAAATTCCCCAGCCTGCCTAGAATTGCTCAGGAGTTTAGTGCCCTGCACCGCTCCCTGTTCCTGGTGCTTTGTGGCTGGAAGAGCTGAGTTTGAAAGTGCCAGTATCAGCCTCCTTCAGCAGCTGGCATTGCCTGTTTTAGCAGTGGTGTGTGCAAGGTCCTTTTACTATAAAGCATTGTGGTAAGTACCTCAGGCTCACTCTTCTCTGCCTGTTTCTTCAGTCTGCAGTGATGAGCTAACCCATAACTTCAAGGGCTTCACAGTAATGAATGAAAATGAGCGGTATGATGCTGTGCAGCACTGTCGCTATGTGGACGAAGTGGTGAGAAATGCGCCGTGGACGCTCACCCCCGAGTTCCTGGCAGAGCACAGGGTAATTTTTGACATCTGATCTGTTCTGAATTTTGATTAGCCTCTGTCTGTGCTTGCTGTTTACAGCAAGAATTCATCCATGGGGGTGACCTCTGCCTGAGCAACCTGTTTCTGTTGAAACTCCTTAAATATAGAATGAACTGGGTTATAGAAATTGAGTGGGTTTCTTGGGAGACTAGAAGCATTTGCTGAGCTGGCAGGTAATGTTAAAATAAGGTAGAGATTGTGACATGGTGAAAAAGCCTGAGAGGGTTCTTGCTGTTCCAGGAGAAGTTGATGCTGGTTACAGATCAGTGTGAAAGCAGTAGGGAGAGGATAAGATGGATTGGAAGGGATTTCTGGAGGGCATCTGGTCCAACTCCCTGCTTATAGCACGAGCAGCTTAGATCTACATCAGCTTCCTGGCAGCAGGAGACCAGGCAAGCTGTCTTGAGAGTCTTTTATCAGTTAGTAAGATAAAGTGAAATGAGTCTTTAACATCTGTTGAACTGTTTAGGGAGGTGGAGGAGTCTCCAGGGGAGTTTGCTTAGTTTACCCTTGTTGCCATTAACAAGCCATTTCTCTGTGGAGCTTAAAACAGCTGTGTCCTTAGTCCCAGCCTTTCCTCTCTGGTGTGTGCTTACAGTTGATATGCAATTGTTAGTGAGAACTTGGGGCTGCTCTGTGTTGCTTTTTAACAGAGGAAAGTGACTTGCTGTTCTCCATCACACCCCCGTGTGGAGGTGTTGAGCAAAAAGTTACCATCCTTTGACAGAAAGCAGGAGAGCTGCACGTTCAAGATAAAATGTTTACTAGCATTGCTTTCTTAATTTTCAGATCGACTTTGTTGCACACGATGACATCCCCTATTCTTCTGCTGGCAGCGATGATGTTTATAAGCATATAAAAGAAGCAGGTGAGTCTGGGGCAGATTCTCCAGGGCTTCCCATCAAAAATCTGCTGTAGCTTCTCCTGTGCCCCTGTATGGCAGAATTATGCCTGGGGAAGTGGCTGTGCCCCTCTGGGAACAAGGTCTGCCCAGGACCTGCTCTGAGGGCAGGAAGAAGCCCAGCTTTTGGGCCCCACTTCCTAAGGCTAGGACTGTTCCATGTCCCAGGCCAAGCATTGCCCAGCATTAATCCATACTTCCAGTCTAGTTATTGAGATTGAATTAACAGCCACCTTTTTCAAAAGTACTACAGTTTGGCTTACAGATTCTCACAAATGGAGAATCTCGTGAACTTAGCAAAGTGATTGCTCTAGCTGTTTGCTGTAAAACTTAGTGGGGGTGCAGCTTATTTAAATTATCCAAATCCAGCTATCAGAGCTTGTTATATTTCCACCCACTAAATTGTAGGACCCCTTGTCCTGTCCTTCTCACCACACTGTTCTATATGCAGTGGATTATAGTCAATAGTCTTTAAACCAGCTAAAGGGAAGAGCTTTTCATTAGAAGACATGGTGTTTTGACATGCTTTGGTCTTGCCTAGGTCTTCCTCATAGTCCTGGAAAGGAGGACCGTGGTATTGTACATTCAAGGACAAAGATGTGGTGGTGTGAGGACAGCTAGGAAATGAGGTCTTGACAGGAGAGATTGTTTCCTAATAGAGATGGCAGCAGCTTTCTGCCATGGGTCTTGCTACAGCTGTCCTGGGTCCTGTTCCCCAACTTTAGGCATGTTTGCGCCAACTCAGAGGACTGAGGGCATCTCAACATCAGATATCATCACTCGGATTGTGCGGGACTATGATGTTTATGCCAGACGGAACCTGCAGCGGGGCTACACGGCTAAAGAGCTCAACGTCAGCTTTATAAACGTGAGTTGAAGTGTGTCTCACCACAAGCTGCATGAAGCAGAATCTTACAGAGTGTGGAGATGTAGAGTCTTCTCTAGTGGTAGCACAGTCCTGCCACATGCCAGTAAAAGGCCAGTCTGCAGAGCTAAGCAGTTGCACCAAACCAGTGTCCCTGGAGTAGAAATTAGACGACTTCTGCCCCTGAAACTGCCTCTGGCACCCACCCAGAGGAAATGGGGTTTTGCTAATACTGTTCCATCGTCAGAAATGTCTTGGTGACGTTTTACCTGTTGAAAGAGCTGGAGACAGGGTGTGTGGCAATATGTGTGTTTTCTTGAACTGAATGAAGTGTGGGTTGTTCTTGGCAGCAGCTGCTGTGTCTCATCTCTCTCCTCTTCCCTCAGCCACCTTCTTAAGGTAGAGTCATTTGTTGGGATAAAATCTGATCCTGTTGTCACTGTACTATTCCCTTCCTGAAGCTGCAGGAGCGGTAGTGCTTGGGTAGGAGAGAAGGACATGCTCTGATCCAGTGCTGAGCAGCTCTAGCCCGCAAGCAGAATACATGGCAGAAGGCACTTCTGATGTTGGAAGTAAAGTAGTAAACTTTTTTTTATCACTCAGATACTATGCCTATTTTTTTAAATACAATCATATACAAAAACAAAACAGGAGAGGTAACGGCTGTTTGGCCTCTCTTTGGCATGTAACTGCCTCTGTTTAAAAACACCCAGCAAAAAGACTTGTGCTATCATGATATGCAGAGACCTACAGCAGGTCACTCAAATCTAATCTGTATATTGTATAAATATTTCCCTCTTCCATGCACTCCTATTAGATAATGCTTATCTCTGGGTTTAGTCTTGCTCTGTGTACTGTGCCTGCCACAAAGCAACTCGCAGCCCCACTATGTCTGCCATTTAGCCTAGGGAAGAAGTGTCACTGAAGTGAAGGAGAAGTGTCACAAGACTAACGGAGACGCTAAGTCTTAAGCAGCAGTTCAGCGTAATAACACAGAGCAGAGGTGGTCGCCACTCAGATCTGGTGAGCTGTATTCTGATCCACCATTTACTGTACAGGAGAAGAAATACCACCTCCAGGAGCGTGTGGATAAGGTGAAAAAGCGGGTGAAGGATGTAGAGGAGAAGTCAAAGGAATTTGTCCAGAAAGTGGAGGAAAAGAGTATTGATCTCATTCAGAAGTGGGAAGAGAAGTCCCGGGAGTTCATCGGCAATTTCCTGGAGATGTTTGGCCCAGAAGGCGCGTTGGTAAGGAGCCGCTCTGGGAAAAGAGGGCAGGGGATTTTGGAGAGCTTGGCAGTCATTGTAGGGCTTCTGGAGCCCATGGTCTGCAGAGCAAAGGTTTATGGTTTGTTGCAGTGATCGATGTGCTGCCAGTCTCCAGTCAAGTTGTCCCAGGCTTGGGCAGCCTGTTCACAGGGAGCCCTCACCCGTGCCAACTGGATAATGCCAGTTACGGCTGTAGTATGAAAAGTTCCTGTGTCCCACAAGCTGGCCTGTAAACTCCACTTTGTGTCCTGCAGGCCACTGAGCAGCCAAGAGATTGGCGATCACTTTGTCACTGGCCTGGGATGAGTCTGAAGCTGCTTGGTTCTGCCAGGCTTTCCTGTGCTGCTGAGTAAATATCGCAGGCACTTCATGTTAGAAGTGCTTGAGAATGGGTAATGGTTACACAGTATGCAGTTTCCAAAGCCTAGAGCGATGCTTGGGCTTTTTCTGCTCTTATATTGCACTAAGCATTGAAGGGATGCAACAACTCAAAATGCTGCACAAGCTGTAAGTAGTGTCCATTTCCATTGCTGTTTGAGCCGTGCTAACTGTCTTCCTGCTTCCATCACTAGAAACACATGCTGAAGGAGGGCAAGGGCCGGATGCTGCAGGCCATCAGCCCAAAGCAGAGTCCCAGCAGTAGCCCCACGCACGACCGCTCCCCGTCTCCCTCCTTCCGCTGGCCCTTTTCAACCAAGACTCCTCCTTCCTCACCGGCCAATCGCTCCAGGAACGAGTCTGCAGTCACCTATGACATCAGTGAGGATGAAGAGGATTAAGCTACCAGCAGGGATTTGCCGCGAACCGCTAATCGACGAATCCTAAGTCTGGACCCACTGGGGAACTCTAAATGAGCAAGAGAGCCATAGGAACAGGGCTGACGGTGAGCACAGGGCCTCAGAGGCACCCGTTGCTCTTAGCAAGGGCTGCTGCCTGGAAGCACATTCAATCCTCCTCTCCCTTCTCCTCCCCAAATCCCCTTTTTATTGTTTACGTTCTAGTGGTTTCCAGGGGAAAGATGGGTTTTATATTTTAAGAAAATACTCTTTTAAAGCGCAAAGAATAGCACTCAAGCGTGGCTTTTGTTTTGGTTTCTTTTCCCTTGTTAAACCTCCAGGCAAGAGGGAGAGTGGGAAGACCCATCTGTCTCTTCTTTCCTTCAGCTCCTCTGTCTTATTCCCCCACCCCCAGGCAGTATCCGTGCAGCTGCCAAACAAAAGACCCCTTGGTTCCTCACCCAGCGTGACCTCGAGAGCACGCAGGAAGCAGTGGTGTAAAGAGGCTTCTAGGCAATAAGAGACATCTCTGCTGCGCTGGAGCTGATAGGAATCTATCCAGCAGACCCTGTAGTGCTCGCACGCCTCTTAGTTGAGCTTCCCAGCATGTCGCAGTGAGGACGTGCTGGGTAGGGAGCTACCAGCTTAGCACACAGGAGTTACACCCTGGAAGAACTTACCATAGAGTCGCACATCCCACAAGTGCGCAGCATTTGCGGCTCCAAATGGTATGGGGGCTGCAGGGGAAAGGCCTTTCCGGCTAATCTTAACAAGACTGCTAAATCTTGAGCTAAAATTCAGCCCTCAATTGCTGTTGGAGAGAAGAGAATGAATCTTTGCTTCAGGGCACTTGTTGTCTGTGCATTTCCTTGGGTGTGTGAGAGCCCAGGTAGGAAATGAATGTGAGTACTCTGTTGAGAAGTTTCTTGTCCCAGTCTCTGGTGTGTAATAAGTTTTACTGTCTGTCCAAATGGCCCCTCAACACTGTGCTCTGTGCGTGTTTGTCTGTGTTTCAGTTGCTGTACTCTAAGGGCTGGAGCAGTCCTTTACACTGGTGCCATGAAGTCGCTGCTATAAGGACAAAAAGTGAATTCGTACAGCCAGTTTGCTGTCCGTGTTGGTGTGTGCAGCTGGACAGATGAAGGGCACATTTTACCACAGTGAAGGGTCCCAGTCCCATGTGACAGTTACCTGGCTTGCACAATAAATGCACAAATCAGTGCCCGCTTACTCCGCTCCTTGAGGCAGACGAGAAAGAACATCAGAGAGTGCTGCAGCTTTTTAATATTTTAAACATGTAATCTGCTCGTTTCAAACCATGGTCCAAGTCGTGCCTGCTGTCATGTCTGTAATAAACACTGAGCTTTGTGGCCTGTGGCTCCCTGTGGCCAGTTGCCCTCCCTATGCTGCATTCCTGTGCACAGAGCAGGTCTGTGCACTCTGTCCCAGCCGCCAGCGCTGGAGAGACTGGACTTGCTGTCACGTAGCTGTGACGCTCCCGCTTGCTTTTCTGTGCGGGTTTGCCTGTGATACCCGTTGTCTCTGGGTGGAGCTGCTGGGCTGAGTTGCCTGTATCCTCCTGTGATGCTGGGAGCAGAGGAGAGCTCGGAGCCCAGTCAGCAATGCTGCAGGGAGGTCTTCAAAGTGGGATGTGGGCTTGGGGAGCAGCGGGTGCAAGGAGGCAAATTGTCAAGTGGTGCCACAGGCTCTGCCCAGTGTGATGCTTCCAGGGCATGCGGGCCCTGTGGTAGGAGCAGGGCGTGATTTCTTTCCAGCTTTTATCTTGCTGATCCTTTGTCACACTGCCTAAAGGGCTTGACAGAGACTCTGTGCTTCTGTTGAGGCCAGAGCCAGTATGGGAAAGGGTATTTTGGGGATTCCTCATCTGCCATTTGGACCTCTTTCAGCAGGGACGTGCACGGCTCTGGGAGCATGGCTGGCTGCTATGGATTTTAAGCTGCAAGGAGCAAATAATGGTCACTCGGTACAAGCCAGTTGTTAATCCCCTGGTTTTTGAGTGGTAGAGCACTTACTTTATATCACCCACATTCTCTCTTCCTTCATCTTCCCCACCTTCCCTTCCTCACCCTTCCCTCAGTATGGGTGTTGCATTGCTTTCCCAAGCTGGATCACAAAGGCCAGGCTGCTTTAGAGCCTTACTACTGTTTTAAACACAAGTTATGCAACAGTGTTCTGTAAATGTGGGTAACAATGGTGTTTTGGATGGTGGTTTGTTCTGCAGAGACCTTAACATATTTCTTGGTCTCTCTGCAAAACCTGGGGTGCTTGGTCAGAAGCCAGCCATGGTTTTACATGTAGCTTGGAAAAACAGAGCTGTTTCTTGTAACCAGTAATCCCTGCTTCCTCCTTGCACTTAAATTAAATTGGACACTCGAATCCCAGACTAGTCTTTTTTTTTTTTTTCTTCTTCCTTTTTCCTTTGGTTTTTTGTTTCCTCCTTGATTGCTGGACCAGCCTCATCTCCAGCACTGCCCTGTCCTATCAGGAATAGGACAGAGCTTGATCTTTGGGCAAAACATTTGAGCCAAGTTCTCCAGGAGCTTCTTGTTACCAGTGGTGCTGCTTCAGGGCTGTTGTGCACACCCCTAACCCATCCCACACTCTTCAAAAGAAGCATCTGGAAGAGACATGCTTGAATTAAGCATGAAGTAAGAGGCAGAGTGGAAAAATAAAACTTTACTAGCACGCATTGAAGAACGTGTGGGGTTTGATGCTGCTAAATCCAGAGGCGCCGACTCCTGCAAGACAGCCCTACCTCAGTTCCTCTATAGATCTGGGGGGTGAGGTTGCTGGCACCAGCAGCCAGCCCCTGGGAGAGGATTTTCTGATAGCAAAGAACAGCAGCAGCAGGGCAAAGCTGAAAGGTGCCAAGGATGCTGGTAGAAGCAAGACATGAAGAGTGTGGCACTTCAACAGCATATTGCTTAGAGCTGTAGGAGAAGGTCTTTAATCTCTTGAGAAAATTATGGTACGCATCTGCACTGACATTATTTTGTGCATTTTATAGAGGGTTGGGACTTTATTGTGCAGTCCAGTTCTCGTAACCACAGGCAGGTGCTGGAGCAGTGAATACACTTGGCAGTAGCGGTGACTTTGGCAGCACTGACCCTGCATCTTGTCCCCTGTCCTCAGGGTGGGCTTCTCACTGCCAAGGGTTCCCTGGCGTAAAGGTGTGGGCTTCCTACCTGCCGCATGTAAGGAGCTGGGTCTGGTTGTCTGACGGGGCTGGGGGGGGATGAGTCCCATATTTTGCTGCTAGCCTGGGTATTGCCTCTTGGCAAAACCATGAGATTGCTGGGTCCCAGCACTTCTGCTATGCCTAGAAAGCTGTGTTGGTAGTGCCTGTGTACTGTTGCTAGGAGTCTTGTCAAATTTGGCAGTCTCATAACAAATCACCAGTGCATCTTCTGGCTGAGCAGTTTTGCTTTGAACAAAGCCACCTGCTAAAAGCTCCAAGTCACTTTTCCCCCCTCCTCATGGAACAGAAAACTTGTTTTTTCCGCAAAATGAATCAATTAAATAAATGAAAGTTGGGAGCTTTGGCTTTCTGACTCTTTGCTTCCCTAACATGTCATGCTGGCCAGAGGTATTACAGTGGGAGGGTACCAGGGTGTGCAGGTCAGGGGAAGCTTCCGTGGTGTCCAGCAGCAGCCTCTGGTCTTATCACTGATGATCTGGCATCTGCTGCCCATCTCCGGCCACACTGTATCACCCAGTCCTGCTGTCACCTCCAGCCCTGCAGCAGCGGCTGCTTCGAGCTGGCTCTTCCTGGTCAGTGTTTACTGCGCTAGTTTCACTGTATGGGCCTGTGCGTGCACCATGTGTCTTACTGGCTTGTTCCGGAGTTGGGTTTTTAGCTTTTATGTTTAGCCAAATAAATGCAAAGTCATTTTACTCAGTGTGTGCCAGATCCCTTCTGCCAGCCAGCTCCCATCGTGGTCTCTTCACCTGCCATCTTAGCAGTGGTTTGAGTGATAAGATGCTTCAGTAGGGGGTCAAAAGATTACCCAGTGGTTTCTGCAAGTCATCATCGCTCCTGATGTCCATCCCCACCTCTGTTGTAGGTGTAGAGCAGATGCTGCTACTGGAGCAGATGCCAGGCAAGGCTGGTTAAGGCAGCGTTAACTAATTGCCTGTGTTATGGAGGTGCTTCAAGCCTCCTTCCTTTACCTGGCCCCAGGCTGGCAGGTGTGGATGTTCCTGCTGTGCTCTCAGGAGCAGCCACTGCTGTGCAGGACGTGCCCCAGGGACAGGCCAGACCCATCCAGAGGTCTCAGGAGAAAATGCCACTGCCCTGGCATTACCTTGGCCATCAGACCCCAGCCAGCAGCACCCAGAGGTCAGTGTCATGGCTGGGTGTTGAGCACCCCGTGACAGCCCCATCCCATGGCTGGGCTGGGCTCTGTCTTCCTGATCTCCTTCTATGACCAGGTGACCCGCCTAGTGGATGAAGGGAAGGCTGTGGATGTTGTCTACCTGGACTTCAGCAAGGCCTGTGACACTGTCTCTCACGGCATACTCCTTGAGAAGCTGGCAGCTCATGGCTTAGACAAGTGTGCTCTTTGCTGGGTAAAAAACTGGCTGGATGGATGAGCCCAGAGGGTTGTGGTGAATGGAGATAAATCCAGTTGGCGGCCAGTCACAAGTGGTGTTCCCCAGGGCTCAGTTTTGGTGCCAGTTCTCTTTAGTACCTTTATCAATGATCTGGACAAGGGGATTGAGTGCCCCCTCAGTAAGTTTGCGAATGACACCAAGTTGGGAGGGAGGGTTGATCTGCTCGAGGGTAGGAAGGCTCTACAGAGGGATCTAGACAGGCTGGATCGATGGGCTGAGGCCAATTGTATGAGGTTCAACAAGGCCAAGTGCTGGGTCCTGTGCTTGAGTCACAACAACCCCATGCAACGCTACAGGCTTGGGGAAGAATGGCTGGAAAGCTGTCCGGCAGAGAAAGACCTGGGGGTGCTGGTCAACAGCCGATTGTATATGAGCCAGCAGTGTGCCCAGGTGGCCAAGGCGGCCAACAGCATCCTGGCCTGCATCAGGGATAGTGTGGCCAGCAAGAGCAGGGAAGTGATCGTCCCCCTGTACCCAGCACTGGTGAGGCCGCACCTCGAGTACTGTGTTCAGTTTTGGGCATCTCACTACAGGAAAGACATGGAGGTGCTGGAGCATGTCCAGAGAAGAGCAACACAGCTGGTGAAGGGCCTGGAGCACAAGTCTTACGAGGAGCAGCTGAAGGAATGGGGGTGGTTTAGCCTGGAGAAAAGGAGGCTGAGGGGAGACCTTACCGCTCTTGACAACTACCTGAAAGGAGGGTGTAGTGAGGTGGATGCTGGGCTCTTCTGTCAGGTGGCTGGAGATAGGATGAGAGGAAATGGCCTCAAGTTGCGGCAGGGGAGGTTTAGATTGGATATTAGGAAAAATTTCTTTACTGGAAGGGTTGTCAGGCATTGGAACAGGCTGCCCAGGGAAGTGGTGGGGTCACCATCCCTGGAGGTATTCAAAAAGCGCGTACACAAGGCATTTCAGGACATGGTTTAGTGGGTATGGTTGACAGTTGGACTCAATGATCTCAAAGGTCTTTTCCAACCTAAATGACTCTATGATTGCTCCCCCTGTATGGAGTTGAAGTCGTCTCCCACCCAGCCTGGGCAGGAGATGATCTGAGCCCAGTCACCGGCGCAAGACTCAGGTACAAATTTATCTTTATTCGGTGCCACACAAAAGCCTCCCCGGGTTGGAGGTGGCTTCACGGATCCCTTTGGCTTGTGGCTTTCAGTTTTCAGACGCTTTCACCCCATGCCAAGATGCCCTTTCCCCCTCTGCCTCCTCTGCTGCCAGCAGCTCCCCAGGGCCGGAGGAGGAGGAGATGGTTGTACAGGGCAGACCAGCCCCTCGTCTCACTCTGCCCCTCGGCACCCCAGTTTCTCCCTCCTGCTCACGCCTTGACATTGGTGCCTGCGGGTGCAAAGCTGACGGGCTGGTAGCCCGGCTTGTCATCCTGCTTGCGGTAGTACATCCGTGTCACCACTGCCAAGATGAAGGTTTGAGGGATCAACAGCTGTACGTTCATCTCTGGAAGAGAAGGGT